GAGGAATTAAACCACTATCACCTTTTCCGCACCCTGTTAAATATATATATATTTATAAGCCATTTCTGAGATTAGCGTGAACAGACAAACAGACAAACAGACAAAAAAAAAGTTAGTTACATTTTTGGGTTCGACATCGACATAAAAATAGCCCCTGCTATTTTTTTTATTTTTATTTTCACTGTACAGACAGCACTTTTCAACAATTTTATTATATGTATAGATTCTTCCAAACCAATTAATAAATTTATTTTACTAAGCGACACAAACCAGGACTTCATACCTAGCAGCATCTTCGATCACATTATAGTGACAACCTTTCAAAATCTTGAAGAAACACTACATATTCCTAAAGACACAACCAACTAGATAAACCAGTACCCATATACATTCGAAATTCAAACAACTGCAACTGTCAACATAACCGGCTCGCAAATATGGTATCCTAGTAATACATAATTCAAAATGTACGTACTAACGGACAGGGGTACCGCATTGCACCACCTACCCTCAAACTTAGCCACTACTGCCTACCCTCGGGAACCATTGTCCTAATTGATAGGCTCGCGGAGATTTTAACACGGTGATACAATATTTGTGGTTACATTTATTTTGTGGTACATTGTTAATGTATTCATCCGTGCATTCATTTCGTTTTTAATTTTAATAGACACTTCATGAAATAGGAAAAACCTGATATTTTTGTCTGTTAATTATATTTTGTAGGTAATTGTTAAGCTTTGATTCACTTCCTTGTGTTTTTCGGTTATAATTTTTTTCTAATGAATACTGATCAATTTCCTTATGAGTTAATTTTGTTTGTATCAAGCTAGGCTTTTTTTACTTATTATCTAATCCACTTTAAGCATGTATGTACAGTACAAGTTCGTAAACATGACAGCTTATTGACATGTTATTTTACAAATAAGGAAAAGTGAGCGGTTTACGTAAGTCAATAAAACAGACAGTGGAAAAGAAAATAAGGTGTATCGTTAAAAAAACAAAACAAGATAAATATTATTTATAATCGTATTTTTCGAGATTTATAGGGATAAACTGTCGAATACGAAATATAAGGCTCGCGTAGGGTCTCCGCCTTTGCCTCTCAATCCCCGTCTCCACAACAAATAAAATAAATCCTATATTTTATTACGCAATCAAAACATAATCTCGAAATTCGAAAACACACTAAACCCAGCCAGTCCATAAAGTCGACAGTGTCGAGTCAATTTCGACGCGACAAAAACGTTACGACAATTCTACATTTGAAAAATGCGAAAACTTTTTCGTTTAAGTTTGGTAACTCCCGCGTTTTATGTTCACATTACTGACAAACCTTTTTGCTGCTAGAAATCTGGTATATACTTAAGCGATCTCCCTTCAAGTTTCCTTCAGCACTTATTGTGCGGTCGAATCTGTGATTTAACTATAAAAATTCTAATATTGATAACTGATTCTTTTCAATAATACTTCTTTGGTATGATATTGCCCTGGTACTTAAATCTATTAATATGATCAAATCACTCCAGTACTTTTCAGTAATCTTTTGAATAAATGTACTTATAAAAAGTAGGTAACATTTTGAAAGGTTGGAAATAATTAAAACTTATCTAGCCCTCATTCCTGAGTATATCTATGAATATGTTTGCGTTTGCAATGTTGTATATTCGTGTCAAGTGCTCCACTAAGTCATTCAGCGCCACGTACTTTCCCCCTGTAAAGCCAACATTTATTACAGCTGCGTTACTTCCGTCAACCCGGCCTATCTAAACACGCAGCCCTCTGTAACATTTCAAATTTAATTGGTCGCAACGCCATCTATTATTTCTGCCCAAGCACTAAACTTTTCCAAGGTATGAATGGACCAGCACGCATGCGTACTACGCATCGATCCGGGATACAAACTTTGTAAATAATCTATTCCGCGACAAAAAAATCGCGGTAGTCGTAATATTTCTCGATTCTAGTTCATAAAAATCCAAATTAATTCCATCTAAAGTTATGGAATAAAATATAACGTGACTCGATCATAAATAAATAGAGATCCCTTTATGATCGATCGTATAAAAAGAGAAAAATTCAAACTTTCAAACGAATACCTATTACAAAGAAAATTTTATTATTAAATGTCGATGAGTCCACGTTCGTCTATACCAAATATTTCATTCCACCAATAAAATTTTATTCGGAGTCGGCGCACTGACGCCATGTTTACAACGTTTTCCCGCCAGTAGGGGCGCCACGATCGCTGCAGCCTCTCGGGCGTAGCTGTCAAAATTACGTTTACGAAAAAATTGCGATTCCCTTACTTATTGCCGATTTCCGATTGTTATAATTGAATATATTGGATAACAATATGCAGATTTAAGTTTGTAATAGTTGTATTCGGTATTCGGTAGCCGATTAAAACCTAACCTATTTCATTTCGGTCAGCGTCGGTGGTATATGGTGACAATAATCTTCAGTGTTATTGCGAAATGTCCCGGACCTTTCTTCTTGTCTTTTTGTTTATTTTTGGCGTTTGTTATTGTAATCCTGATGCGAAACGCTTATATGACGACCTACTGAGTAACTACAATAGGTTGATACGTCCTGTTGATAAAAACAACAATACTGTGTTGGTGAAACTTGGCTTGCGGCTATCACAACTGATTGACTTGGTAAGTCTTTTTGTATGATTTTCTTATATTCTAAAGCATGGTGCATGTCTAAAGCATCAAGCTTCGAGAAGTTTAAGATGTCCGACCTCATTTTATTATTATATTTTTTTAACTTTATTTTTTGGTAATGACGGTAACTGATGACCTATGCATAAATATTATTTAAGGAAACAATATTCAGTTTGTTTACTATAACGATTGCTTCTTGTTTTCTTCATGTAGTTTTCATTATATTGTAAGTAAAGGTTTATTTACCATCGGGTACAAGGTACAACAGGTGCATGTGACAGAAAATAGCAAAAATATATTCCAATTCGGTGTTTATTTTTATCTGACGGACGCGTGTACTTTATTTTTCATTCTAGTATTAAAGCAATGTAGCTCTTATATAACAGTTTTTAAGATATTTTTTCATCAATTGATTTGGAACTTTAATACAAACTGTATATTTTGCAAATAATAGACTCTTTTTAAGTGTTCTCCGTTTGAAGTAATCCTCCATATTCATTCAGTAGACACAAACCCATACTTCAGGTGCCTATCCATTAAAAATATCGCACTTATGAATATAATTGAAGCGTTAGTCAAAGTAACTGACAAAATAACTCGTGTTTCACAAGGAAAAGCAATAACTACAAAACAACCTTTATAGGTACAAGGTTTTATATCTTTTTCGCCACATGCTACGATTCGACCACGTTGATACTTCCATACTCCGGTACTGGCGCTGGCACCGGTTGATGAATCCAAAGGTTCTCGATCTTCTACAAAAATACAAAATCTCAAATTCAATAAAATTAAACTTATCAGACTTAACTAAAAATTACGGGTTACATACTAAAAGCTCTCCTAGATTCGAGTCTCAGAGGGACTTTTCTTCATGAGCAGCGTGCGCGGTCTCGACTGTATAGGTTGTAGGTTGTGTGTCTCGATACTAGTAGAGCTTTACTCAGTATATTTACGTGAGTAATCCATACTTTTTAGTCAATTCCGTATGTCGCACGATAGTTATTATAAAAAACGTACACTTCAAAAACATTCCAGTTTTCTGACTCACTCGACTACTTTCAAGCCATACTAGAGACTCATATTCATGAGCAGCGCGACAGCCGCCGCGTCGCGGGTCGCGAAATGCTGCTCATGAATATGAGCGTCTAGTATGGCTTGAAACTAGTCGAGTTCCTCGTCAAATAATTACGTGAGTAGGCCGAAAACATAATAATATAATTACGTGAATATTTCTTCTACGTGAAGAATTTCACGTAATTCTTCAAAGGGTTTGAATGCCCTCTGTTACTCTTATCTAATATCAAATTGTAACTACTACTAACTCTAGATACGTAATTAATCAGTGCACTCCCGATGTCTCTCCGGACACAGCAGAGGTCGTTCTGTCCTCTGAGAGTTAGACATAGACAACATGGAGTGCAACTGTGTTTGCGCACCAACACACTACCTACTGCGCAGGTGGCTTGTAGCTGTTACAAGATTGGTCTTATATTAGCTTTATTCATTCACTATGATTTATCTCTAAGGGTACCGAATACTCAATCGTCTGATGATTGACAATACCGAACGCATGCCTACGTTGTTTTCGGATTCAGTTAAATGCGCCGGGTACCCAGAACTGGCTATCCGGCAACCTGATCGTGTGAAAAGGCACTTATTGGATGTTTTTATTTCCTACTAGCTGACCTGGCAAACATCGTACCACCTAAAAAAAATTTCCTCACCCTTTAAACCTTCCCTGGACTTTAATTTCTTTCGAGACCAAAATTAGCCACATCGATTCAGTCGTTCTCGAGTTTTAGTGAAACTAACGAACGGAAAGACATTTTTATTTATATAGGCTTTTTTAGTAACAGAGTTTGTAGTTGATGTCAAAGTCAAAGACAAAATCATTTATTTCAATTAGACCAGAAAGGCACTTTTGAACGTCAACAATAAAATTAAAAGTGAAGCTATTTGCTCATTTCAAGGTGTAGATTCCTATCGAGAAGAACGAGCAAGAAACTCCATAGGTTACTCTTTTTCAATCAGGTTCACAATACAATTCTCTAGTTACATAGTTTTGCTGTTTGAATTGTGCGAGAGTGGTGGTCGATGGTGAATGGAACCACTGCAAGGTAGAAGGGATAAGATCTTTGCTCACTTTTGCTGACAAGGGGTATTTTTTTTTTTAAGGGGGGAAAATCATCGAATGACTGCTCCCGCCTGGGTGAGGCGGAAGGGAGTGTCAGACTCTTACTGACTAAAAACCACCCCGTTCCTTCTCCTGCACGTCGAGCCGGAGTCCCGGTTACCCGTTAGGTTCTCCGCGACAAGGGGTATGGGGGTAAATAATTGTAAAAAATTTGCTTACGTAATATTTGAACATTTGAAATAATATTTGAACCCCTTATTACGAGTAGTGTGTTCCATAGATTCGGCAAAAATATTTTTTACGCTGTTACGAAATCCCAGTATTGTTACAGTGACACTCTTCCTTATTTTACATGGATTTTTTATTTGCCATACGTCTACGTTCTGCGAACAAGACATAGGGATGCATAGAAAAATAACACGTAACAAAAAACAAACCCACACAACCTACAACAAACTTTGACACAAAAAACATATCATATTAAAAAAGGTGTGAATATCCATGGTGTATTGATTACTGAAAACAACCTTACCTGCGGTTACCATGGCAACGAGAGGGTTCCACAGGTGCGATGAGGACTGCCCTCGTGGGCCTAATCAAATATTTAGTAAATAAGTTCAAATAATAACGTATGAGCCTGTAAAGTTTAATGCTGTTGGACCAACGAGTATAATAACAAATATAATGAACAAAATCATTTGGGATTTGAAAATAGACGATCATAAATGGAAAATGATCGTAAAGGCCTGTGTTAACATTATATGGAGCCTTTTATTTTCCCGAAAGGGTGTGTAATCAGCCTTTTCTCTGTATAATTAGGATGTAACTAAGCAGTTTTATATTATGTTGTGAATCTCATGTAACCCTAGTACCTAGTGAGGTTATTGTCAGTCATACTATGATATTCCTATCGAAGTGACTATATATTATTAAAGAGTATAGTTTATCACCTTTCTTTGGCTCTCGTAAGAAAAGTATCGTAACATTACTAAGAAACTACGTAATTGACAGAGACCGGGCAGTGGCTCTCACTTATAATTTGAGTCTTCTAAACTGTGAATTAATCTTCAACCCTTCTTCTACCCTGGTAATAATGTTGGTTGACCAACGGCAAGTACCAATGCGACGTTTTCCGAGCTATATGTACTTTCTAAGATTATTTCGACACCACTGACAAACGGTGAAGGAAAACATCGTGAGGAAACCTGGGCTTATAGTATCTAATTATAAGTTTGAAGCCGCCAACCCGCATTGAGTAAGCGTGGTGATGAATGCTCAAATCTTCTCCGTACGAGGAGACGTCTTTGGTCAGCAGTAGCCACTTTTAGGCTGTTTATGATGAAGCATGGTGATTATAGCGAACCCCTGTCTCTTTTGTAGACGAGGCCTATGGTGAGGATAGTGGCAGTTGATGTTCCTACATATCTATGTATGTATGAGATGCGAAAAATGTACAACAGGTTCCTAAGCCACTGAAGTTTGAATAAAATGCATATTTGTGTTGCTGTACTGTCCTTAGTGCAAGCTACTAGGACGCCATAAAGAACAACACACGCATGTTGTAGACACACTCATACTTATAAACTTTACCGATACATTCAACAAAATACAATAGACACACCCTTTTGTACACACATGGATCAATGAATTCTAACATCTATGCAAATAACTCAGCAATACATGTTTACCATGACAATCGTCCTACAGGTGCCCCGGATATGATAAACTCTCATGGGCCTACTTAAACATTTGAAAAGGGATGAACGTACAAACAAACGAATTTAAGAATCTTATTTGTCCAGGATTTAACTGGTTCAATCTGGTTCAACGAGTAACGGCTTGTAATTAGTCGGATTTAATGTAAGAGATTTATGTTTACCTATTTATCTTGATAACTTATTAACATAATTTATTATAAGTCGTGGTGACCCGAACATTTAAGACGTCTGCTTCCCATGCATAAGGACGCTGCTTCGAAACCCCCCTAAGGCAAGTACCAATGTGACTTTTTCCGAGTTACATGTACTTTCTAAGATTATTTAGACACCACTGACAAATGGCGAAGGAAACCATCTTGAGGAAACTTGGGCTTATTATTTTTAATTATAAGTCTACAAATCGAGCAAGTGTGGTGATTAATGCTGAAACCTTGACTGTGTGAGAAGAGGCCTTTGGTCAGCAGTGGCCACTTGTAGGCTATTGATGATGATGATGATGATTATAATTTCGTGTGTGTGTAGTGCAACATCCTCTAAATGTTCAGTAACGGTATTGCGAATCCTAAGTCACCTACCAAATAAGGGGATCGTAGCAAACCCCCTCTTAAGAAGTAAACCATTGTTCCGGCAGTGGCCATTTTTAGCTAACATCAATTATGATGATGATAATAAATTAGATATTGTTTATGTCATTAATAGTTTTTTTATGGGATAAGCCGGTAAACCAGCCGACGGATCACCTGATGGTTAGCAATCGGCGTCGCCTATGGACACCTGGAACATCAGAGGCGTTACAAGTGCGTTGCTGGCATTTTGGGGTTTAGGAATTTGAATATTGTTGAGATTCAGGGATTGGGATTATTGTTTGATTGATTGTTTATGCGAGTGAAGGAATTTTAGTGTATCGTATAAATCCTTCTGTTGTAACAAGTGCACGCTATATACAAGCCGCAAAGTTTAGTTCCTTCTGTGAATTTTGAAATCAAAACAACGGAATTCGATTCCCAGAACTATCCGACTAAAGACTTCAGCAGACAAACTTGGAACCACAAGATCACAATGATTTGAATGTTCAGTGATAACAACAGATCTACCCCAATTGTAAGTTAACTTTAATATCTTGATTAATACGAAAATTG